GAGGAGGGGGGGGGCGGGAGTAAATTTGAATTCATTGAGGAGCGCTTGTTGGTAATTCTGTTAACAAAAGGTATCCTTAGAACATATTAAATATTTATCTGTTCTATGAATAACAATTGGTGAGGGACGAGAGGGTCTGTTTACTTTCTCTCAGGTTGTCTGTACATCGGCTCCTGATGCTGTGGGTGTTAAAGGCCCAACAGCAGGACCTCCATGACGGAGTGAATAGGCTCTTACAACCCCCCCCCCCACACACACACACACGCTCACAGACTGCTCTCAGCCGGAGCAGCGAGTGCCCACCTACCACCCCTACATAACGCGGAAAAAGCTCCCGTGTCCTGTTTTGTGCGTGCCAGCGTAAAAGGCCGTTGTAAGGGCAGCTCTTTATAATTACGAAAATATCGAATTAATTTGTCGGCCCCTCCTCCCAACTAAAGAGGAGTCCCGCCACTCTCTGTAGGTACGGGCACTAGCCCCGTGCTGGAGTGTCTGCGTGGGGCCCTGAGCTGTCCCACGCCGCAGTCCGCGCGCTCAGAACCGACCGGGTCCTGCTCCCGGTTCTGCTCAATCAAACTAAATCCAGTCTAAAGCTCGTCACTATTACTGGCTTAGCAAGCAACTGCAATCGCCGTTCAGTGCTTTAACGAAATGACAACGGTTATTGAACGCAGCTCATCTTTCTGGAATAGCCACAACGAGAAATAGCACTTTTTATTATTATTATTATTATTATTATTGTTGTTGTTGTTGTTGTTGTTGTTTGTTGATTGTTGGAATTTTGAGCGTGCTCATTCGTATCCCTTGAAGTCTTTCTTTCCAAATATGATTTGATATTTTCCGATTGCTGTAATTCAGTATCATGTGTTCGAATTAATTGCTTGGCGTGCAGACCTATATATCGAAATACACTGCGGGGATATTTCTGTTCTGTACCTGACCTACTCGTAATTTCAAAATGTAGCAGTTTTTTTTTTTAAATAGATAATTATATACCGCTACTCCACTAGAGAAATTGAATATTAATTTTTGAAGAAATAAATTATATTGCAGCCTGCACTTCAAATGACGATAGTGTTGATTTATTACTACTGCACGGGGCTTTGCGCCGCGCTGAAGGTCTGGTCCGCTTTACCCGAAGGGTTGTGGGCGCATGTTTTCGAGGTTTCATGGGGGAGGATGGATGGAATTCTCGGGTCACGTACTTAACAAACTGATCGGCCCGCCTGAACGACTTCCTTTCGTCTGCAAACTCCCCCCCCGTGTATATGTTTTTATACGCGGCTTGCCGGCACTAGCGCGGTACCTCCGGCCTCCCCCGGCGGTGCTCTGTCCCGGGCGGGCCGAGCTGTCGTGCCGCCCGCCCCCCAGAGCCCAGGACGGCTCGCTTCTAAAGTCCTCGATAAAAAATTAAACCCCGGATAAATTAGTATCAAGCGCACGCAATGAAAGGAGCCTGTTTTAAATGATTATTTAATACTCCTTTTCTTCATTTATAATGATACCCCAGACACCTCCGGCTGCGGGCACATTTTTTAAGTTAATTTAAGGTTAATACAGACGCCACTGCTGCACAGGGGGGCCTGGGAGAGGGGGCAGTGAAGATGCACGAGGAGCCCGGAGGCAGGCCCGCCAGCACCGACCGCTCGGGCGTCTCTTGTTAGTGCAGTTCGACCCAAACCCGCTCTGACTGCGCTGAAGACAGACCGCGGAAATGCTACAGAAGACGAGCGCAGCGCTAACTTTATTAAACGACGCTAAAACGGAAATGCCCTCCCCACGCGACTTTGAGCGCGGGTAAAGAAGTGCTTTCAGAGCCGAGGTCCCGGGTTTGAGATATCTCTCCCGTGCGTGTGTTTCAGTTTTAATCAACTCTAGTCATCTGACGAATGGGACTTGAGCTGAAAACTGAGATCGAAATGACCTTTGCAGTTGTTGTTTTTTTTTTTGGGGTCCAAACCAAAATTGCTTTGAAGTGTTATTTTGCAGTAGTTAAAGAACTCCCGACAGAGGACGCGTGGAGTCTTGTGAAGGCCTGTAAGGAGACCATAACAACACTCCACAGCCCTTTTCACTGCATTTCGTCCACGGCGACTTGTCCTGGACGAGACCTGTCTCCGAGCCTCATTCCTTACCCCCGTTATGTAATTAGTGCGAAACTGCACCCGATCTGTTTCAAACTGCACAGTAGCCTTCGGTTTTCTTTAATGATCGGGACAGCCCCCTGACCCGGCGAGGGCATCCAGAACCTCTCCTGTTTAATTATGCCGTTGGCTTTTTCTAACTCACAGAACCGAGTGAGGCTGGCGGAGACAGGAAACATCGGTTAAGCAAATTGCTATTTAACTGGAAACTTGCTAGCCTCTGAGCCTTGCATTATTCATTAATAAGACAAGAAAGTAGCGCTGCAGTCCGCCGGCTCTCTGCCCGAACGCAGGCGGGTTGCTCATCGGGGATGTGGCCCAGAAACAGGCCAGCAATCTGCGCTCGCTCCGTCGGCAGGGTCTCGCGGAACGGTCTCGGGCGCTGTCCTTCTGATCGGCTTAGGTAGACAAAAAAAAGTTCACTTCTTTTTGCTTTTGCATAACGGAAAAGGAAACGGCGCTGTTCGCGTGGCGTCGGTTTTTCTGTCCGCAAAGGCTAGCTGCAACGAAAAGTCGCTGTTTACAATATCGGTGGAGGCGAGCGTATTCTGTGCATCAGTCAATGCAAAGGACAGAACAGAAGACGTTGTTCAATATTATTGTAAAACTATTCGTTTTGCTTCGGGATTTAATTTTCACTACTTGTTTCGCAGTTTAGTACTTTGCTCACAGTCCAGGCAATAATTATAGTTTTTTTTATATTTCTGGTTCTTTTATTAAAGTATGAAGTACAATAGGCACCATATGATTAAATTATTAATTGCGCTGTAAATTCCCACGTTGTGTTTAAACCCTTTAAAGAGATGACAAATTATATGAGAAATTAGGTAGCCATCGAATGGAGCTTCAGCGTTTATCAAGCAAGATTTGGGGGCCTGATTTTCTACTCCAGATAAACTGAGCTCGAACTGACCACGGTTAGGTCCAGAAAGCTATTGAGAGACACTTGGGATTCAGAAGAGTGTCTGAGCTCCTGATGGCTCAAAACCATACAAAACGTGGACACACTAGTGTGTAATAGTATTTAATTAATACCCTGGTGTTAAAATGAGCATTACCCTCTAATTAAGTCCCATAAATAATGTATTTTAAACTGACAAGATGCCCTACCACCGGCCCCTGCTACAGAAAACCTTTGGTTTACAGCTGGGCAACCAAACACATTCGTTTAACTACTGTGCAATTTTAATGAAATTACATTTGACCTGAAATACAGTGTCTAGAAAAGCTCAAGCAAAGAAGCTTTCATAGTGTGCAATAATAATAATAATAATAATAATAATAATAATAATAATAATAAA